AACACTGCTTGGGGTTCTTTTGTCCAACCTCAAACATGTCTCAGGATGGGAATTGCAAGTGTTTGACAAAACTCCCATTGAGGAATTTTGGAGGACACGTAGCATCAATGGGTATGGTGAAGAGGTGCATTGTGCGTGCAACTTTTCTTGGGAAAATGTGAAGCACAGTCTGCCCTGCCGGGAAGTTGCTGGCGTACTGGATGCTGCGGATGTAGCAACCGGGGGGGTCAAAGATTTTTTGGAGAATCCTTTGAAATACTTGAAGCCCGAAAGCATGCGCAGTTGGATGAAGTGCCCTAGGGTCATGGTGTCAGAGTCTCTTTGGGAAGAAGGCCTTGTGGAACGGGGTATTCGCGATGTAATTCCCCTCAGTGAGGTCTTTCATGTGGAGGGCGGCCCATTTTGGGCGGCCTCTTCGGTGTCCCGAAGCATGAGGAGGCTGATGGGATTCCAATCTTGCGTTTGAGCATGGATCTGCGACCCATAAATCAGTGTTTTGAATCAATTGGCGGAGATATTGGAACACTGCCGATGTTAAGCCAGCTGTTTCCTGAGGAAAATGTCCTTCTAAGTTCAGAGGATATCAAAGCCATGTTTTATGTCATAGGTTTACCTGCAGTGTGGAGACCCCTCCTAGCATTCGGGAGGGAGGTTCCAGCCAGCCTAGTGCCAGCAGGTGTCAATGGCCCATGTGTCCTCTCCAGTAGAGTGCTGCCAATGGGTTTCATCAATTCGGTGTCTGTCGCGCAGGCTCTTCACCGTGATATTGTCAACAAAGCTGTAGATAGATACGGTGTGAGTCGAGATTCAGAAATCCGTCGGGATCAGCCTTTGCCTTCGGGCGCCACTGCGTACAGGGTTTACTTAGACAACTTTGATATCTTGTCCAGGACCAACCGGGAGGCTTCCTGTCTCCTTGAAGGCCAAATCGGCCCCTTGGCGTCGGAGTTAAGAGATGTATACCAGGAATTGAAAATTCCCATCAATGAGAAAAAATCTGTTAAATCGTCTTCATCAGGCGAAATGCAGGGTGGTTTCGTTGATGGGAAGTCAGGGACTATTTCTCCGAAATCTGACAAGGTCATGAAGTATGTGAGGGGAGCTTGGTATCTCCTTCAAAGTCGGAGGACCAACCTCAAAAGAATTCAGATGGTTGCGGGAGGCTTAGCTTATTTGTTTAGTTATCGTAGATGCCTCATGAGCTGTTTGAACGAAATGTGGGTGTTTATTGCCTCCTTTGATGGCCATACGCAGGAGTGGAAGCAAATCCCTCGCGAGGTCAAAAGTGAAATCTTTGCTGGCATAGCTCTGTCACCCTTAGCGTTTATTGACCTCAGGGCTCCATATGATGCTTTGGTGACAGCAAGCGATGCTTCAGAATCGGGAGGAGGTTTGTCCTGCACTTCTGGTCTTACGCCTTTTGGTATGGCTGCAGCTCTTAAGCCCACTAGGGGGGACTTTGAAAGGGTTTGTGATGATCATCAAGTTTTGGCGGTGTCCCTTTTCGACGGTATTGCTGCGTGCCGTGTGGCCCTGGACGTGATTGGAGCCAAGGTGGCAGGATACATATCCGTTGAGCCTGATGAGGGTGCCAGGCGCGTTGTCGAAGCATCGTTTGGTTCAACCACCTTTTTAGAACAGGTCCAAAACATTTCCGATGAAACCGTGCGGGGTTGGGCTTGCCAATACTCTAGGGTTGGGGTTGTCCTGCTTACAGGAGGCCCTCCGTGCCAGGGAGTCTCGGGCTTGAATGCAAACCGGTTGGGTGCTGAAGGTGATCAAAGGTCATGCCTACATCAGGAGGTTCCCCGAATTCGAGAGCTGTTGGAAAAACATTTTTCATGGGCGAAAGTCTTTTTCATGATGGAGAGTGTGTCATCAATGTCGGACGCAGATAGGGTTTTGATGACCCGATCTATGGGATTTCTTCCATATGAGCTTGATTCAAAAGGGATAACACCGTGCCGTAGGCCACGGTTGTTCTGGTTCAATTGGACCGCTAACGCTGAGATAGGTGTCACAATTCAGAAGCCTTCCTCAAGTTCATCAGCTGATTATGGACAAGTGGATTTTGATTTGGAGTGCGACTCTGAGGCGTATCTGTCCCCTGGCTGGAAATTGGCTGGCGGCCCGCGTCACAAACTTCCAACATTCACTACATCCCAACCCAAGGGTAATCCAGGGCCACATCCAGCTGGGATTTCCTCCTGCAATGCCAGAGACTTGAAGTATTGGGAGAGCGATAGGTACCGTTTTCCACCTTATCAATATAAGTACATGCACGGCGTAGTCCACTCAAAGCACGGTTGGAGAAACGTCAATGTGAACGAGAGGGAATCCATGTTGGGATTCCCCCTTGACTACACCTTAGAGTGTTGGCCTAAGTCCGCAAGAAAACTGCAACCCCTTCAACACGAGAATGCCAGACTGACTCTCTTGGGCAATTCATGGTCAGTCCCTGTAGTTGCATTTCTCCTTTGTCAGCTGTTGGCCCCACTCAAGCTGTGCGACTCTCTCAACGTGCAGGCCATACAACACCGCTGCATGCCTGGGTGTGGCCCTGAGTTGGGAAGTTTCCTCACACGACACCCTGGATCGGAACCAGGGTTTCTAGGGTTGGGGAGAATGACAAGATGTTGATTCGTAAACTTGGGTCCCTCATGTCAACGAGAGGCACCGATGTCCTCTTGAAAGCCCCTACTGAGCCGCTACGTTCATACGACCGGTTGAGAACCTCAATCCCTGCGAAGCTTTGGAAGTGGCAAACATGTTGTGCCTGGCTTTGGAAAAAGCCCCGGTGCAATGAGGTGCCCGAGCATATCAACAAACTTGAACTTAGGGCAGTCTTGACTGCAGTGAAGTGGCGAATTATGAAAACCAAGCTCACCAGGTCCAAGTTTCTCCATTTGGTCGACAGCCTTGTCTCATTACACATTGTGAACAAGGGGCGGACCTCAAGCCGAAAATTAAGGACCATCATGAAAAAGATCAGTGCGTGGCTGTTGCTGTCAGGGAATGCCTGCCTCTTGGGGTACGTTGATACAGGCCAAAATCCAGCCGACGGCCCTAGTAGAAAGGGCCAGAAGAGGAAATGGGCAAGCGCGAAGTCGTAGAAGCTCGTACCCGCGCAGGCAGGAAAATTCGTAGACAGCAACTTGGAAAACTCAAAGACCTCATTATTAGACCAGCCACCAAATCCCGCTACGACACTGCCATGGTTTCATGGTTTGAGTACTTAAGATGGAATCGTATCCCCATGCCTTCGCAGTTTGAGGAAGTTGACCGAATTTCTTCAGAATACATTGAGCATTTGTGGCAGGAGGGGGATTCAAAGTATTTCGCCCAAGACACCTTGTCAGCTTTACAGCATTATGAACCACAGTTGCGGCGTAGACTCTGCCGTAGCTGGAGACTTATTCGAGCTTGGCAGCAACATGAAATCCCAACCCGGGCGCCGCCTTTGACTCCAGCCACTTTGGCTTTGCTGGCAGGTTGGGCGCAGCAGCATTTTCCTGAGTTTGCCTTAGCTTTGGTTGTGGCGTTTCATGCACTTTTGCGAACAGGTGAACTTTTCAGCATCCAAAACAAGCACATCATTTGTTCGGGTGATTTGTGCATCCTGCATTTGGGTCAGACAAAAATGGGTGTAAGAAATGCTAGCACCGAGAGTGCCTCTTTTAGGAATCGAGAGGTTTCACTCTTGCTGCAAGCCTGGAAGTCCACTCAAAAACCTGATGCATTCCTTGTGCAAGTGTCTGCGACAGCTTTTCGGCAATGGTTTGTTAGAGCTCTCAGCGCCACAGACTTGCAAAACGCCTCGTACAAACCATATAGTCTACGTCGCGGCGGGGCGACCCAGGTTTTTATAGAAACCCAAAGTTACGCAGCAGTTTGTCAACGTGGTAGATGGGCATCCGAGAGAACCACTCGAGTCTACATTCAGGATTCTGTGGCTCTCTTGACTGAAAACTCCTTCAGCCCTAATGCCAAACAACGCGGTTACCAACAATTTTGGCATCAAACTCTGAGCAGGCTTGAGCCTTCCCGCAAAGCGGGAAGATGTAGGGGGCGTGGAAGGGGGTAAACGACGCTTACCTGTTTGTTTCATCAATCCTCCGGAGGATGAGTTGGTTCACCATTTTTTCTCGTACGTGGCGAGAGCAAGGAACATGATGATATCCATCCTGCGTTGTCATGGTAAACGCGTGTATTTTCGCAAAGATCGCTCTCACGAACTCTCTCTTTCTACAACACAATGCTTGCCTTGGGCGGAAAACATTTGAGAGCAGATTCCTAGGCTTAGAAAAGCAAGATCAAGGCATGGGACTCCAGAATCCCCATCCGCATTTGAAGCTTTTTTGGCAAGACACTCGTAGTAAGGGGTATCTGAAGCGAAGCAAGCCCAGGATATGAGGATGTAGGACACAACTCGTAAATTTGGGACCCGAAACCATCTGGATCTTGGAGCTGATTCCATGAGCATCGCATGTCTGCAGCCAGATTCCATGGAAAAGTTCCAATGGAAGGCTCTAGTTTGTGGTCACTGATTCAAGCATGTTCTAGTTTGTGCTGACAATCGGGTCCTACCAGATGACTGTAAAGCATGTGCTGCTAGAAATGCAATGCGCAGGGCATCGCAGAAAATGCGGGTTTCCCGGGGGGAGGGGATCATATTTGTATATATGTACATACGTGTGTGTATACATATGCCGAGACTTTTGCAACATGTGCGTGAACGCAATATTGGTGGCATATTGAGCTAGTGTCGTGTTACACATTCATGTCCTCAAGTCATCTACATTCATGTGAATTAAGCGCTTCTATCAAAATACGGGGAGCCTAGCATGTGGTTGGTTGAGCACGTTGAGCTGCAGCAGAGATATCGGATGTTTGGATGACGGTTTCGCATGATGTCAGAGTCAGTGCATGCGTGTGAGCAAACGTCAGTTCGCATTCATCTCTCGGAGCTTTTTTTGATGCTAATCACTAATTCCACCAAGGTTTCATGAAACACGTGCAGTTTGCGGAGACGTTTGTGGCGGAACCTTACAAAGATTGGACTAATACGATCCCAGACGTGTTTCCTGGCAAGCTGCTTCATTTTTCGCTTTTGTTGCAAGGCCGCGGGTGACATTGGCTTGGTATATTAGCCAGGGTTCTTTGCAAGATGTAATGTTTACCTGGATTTAACCCCAGGCGATCGAGCAGCCAGGAGCTTTCCAAACGGTTTGCACAAAGCCTTCTGACAAACAGACGTATTCAAGCTGATAACCAGGCTCTTCATTCTCATCTTGTTTCGCATTCTGTACTCCGAAATGAGGGAGTTGCTGCCGGCGCTCTCGCTCCTTGGATTGATGAGAGAGTCCAGCAGCCTGCTGGCAGGTTTGGAGTCTTGTATGGGCTGCAATACAGGGAACAACTTTCCATTGCTACTTGTGTCATTTCGGAATCTTCCTCACATCCTTTTTGCTCAACGCCTTGGCACAGGTTCTGTTTCTTACAACCCTAGATTGAATCGAACCAGTTCGAGCAAGGCTTCAGAGAAGTCTTGTTTCCATCGCGGCATCTGCCAAATGCGCTGAAATGCGGCTGTGATGACCTGGGGTTGGCTGAAATTCCGAGTATGGGAACGAGGAATCTCAGCACGTGCTGAGTGCTGTGGCGCTCGGCACTCTTGGTTTTGCTCCTGATACCTGCAGGGCCAGGAATCTTCTGGGCTGTTGGATGTGGTGGTCAGGGAGTTAGTGGACAATGGGCGCAACACGACCAACAAGCATTTCGGTTCATATGCAGCAAGCCCGGCGAATTGCTGGTCAACAGCCCACCAGGTGGCCTGAGCTGCAAAGTGCAGAGCTTAAGAGTAATGCGAAGGACGTAGTTGCACAGACAAGTGCATGCTTGTGTGCGCTTTGAACATGCCTGCCTGAATGATTGATGTGGATATCTTTCAAGGCGGTTGAATGACAATTTGGAAGACCCAAACGACGAAAACGTTGATATCACAGTGTCCCGGGCCCCGAACTTGGGACCAGGAATGCTCCCCTTCCTGTTTCGAGACCATTGGGTCAACCACAGGTGTGCCTGGCTGGTATACTGCACATCTAATCCTGGTCAGGGACGCAAGGTGCTGTAACAATCTCGAGCCGAGAAGGTTAGCAAGAAAAAAACCCAACACTGTGAAGGCACGATCAAGCACCCTCCGGGACAACGGTAACCTCGAGTTGCCGAAGTCATGGGCCAGTTTGGAGTCAAAGGGTGGTGCAGGATTTCATATTTTGCAGATGTGCTCACGACTGCCAGTTATCTTGTCTTCGACTAGTTAAATGTGGGTGTTGACCACGCAAAATCTCAATTAGCTATGCCAAAAATGCAAAGGATTGGATTCGACGGCATTATGAACTACCTGCAGTTCTGGAATGTTGCCATTTGCCAGCAGAACAGAGAAAACTCACGGTACAAGTATCTTGGCAACCGAGCCACATTGCAAAGCAGCGCCCCAGAGTGGTATGTAGTTTGCCTGCTGCAATCCCGGTTTGAAAGCCCCTGAACAGCCTGGATGTAATTCTGCAAGTCGATCCTCAGGCACTTGTGAGCAGTGACACCAGTTCATTGCAGTTTCATAGCGCAGAGGGCACGCGGTTCGTTGTCATCCTTTCATTTTTTTTGGCTGGGTGCAGCAAGGTGGACTGGCTGGCGATCATCTGGGGAGCTATCTGTGCTTAAGCTGATCAGCAGAATGGGGATGATCAGGTCTTGTTTTGTGTAGTCAAGAAATAATCGTGATCAAAGTGACACCGACATGAGGACAGTAAATTGGTTGTGCAGAAAGCGTTATGTAAGCTCATGTCACATGTTCTGCAGCATTTTTCCTGACGTGTACTGCTCTGGTCAGCACGCAAGGTGCTGGACTTTGGGTTGTTTTCTGCATCTTTCTATCCATGGTTGAGCCCAGACTTGCTCCTTGGCTCGCATCTAGAATTGGAGCGGGTGAAGGCTTGGCGCGGGAGGCATCGCGCTGCGTGCGTTCTTTGGATTCCTATAGGCATCTTCCCGCTTTTGCCGTCTTGTTGTTGATTTTCAACAGGCGATGAGAGGTGTGTATCTGACAACGGCATTCTCACATGCAGAAGACATGGTGCCCGTGCCGAAAGCCAAGGAGGCTCTGCCCCTGCGACGCATGGACTCCTTGGTGCTTGGGACGTTACATTCAGATGACCCTAGCTGCCCCACAGTGCATTTAAGATTCAGTTTGGTACTCGTAGGCAGCTCGTGGGCCATTTGGGTTGTGCTGGGTGTCGGTCTGGTGACGCCTATAGCGGAAGTATTGAGCTGAACATGTAGTCCTGGAACATGTAGGCCCTCACCTGCCGGTAGCAAGCGTCTTTGCATGCCTGCAGAGTGCGCCAGCACCCTATGAGAACCTTGCGACAAGTTACCATCATCGTCAACGCATTGCAAGAGGTGACAGGATTTCCGAGTGTGATGACAGAGTCCCAGGGATCGCATGAAGTGTTCGACTAGGTGTTTGCAAACCAGACCTACATGGAGGCATGGGAGGAAACTCAGTTGCAAGTCAGGAACGAACGTTCAGGATTCGAGGGCCTTGGGCTTTGATATCAGAGCTATGCGTTGCCACATCTTAAAGGACATCTGAAGCTATGGCTTTTGCTCAGGCATGCCTTCAGAGATTGATTCACTGCCGCCATCCTTCTTACTTGCTCAAGCACTGAGGTGAACATTGTCATGCCTCGCCAAGAAATCGAGGGGCGGCTTCAGAGCATGATGCAGTCGTTCCAGGCAGGTCTGTGCAAAAGCTTTTCATCTCCAGTGGCAACAAGGAGGTTTTTGCGCACAGGAGCTGTGTCTTTGGTCAACTTGGATTCTGCTAACAGCTTGCGCGCCCAATTTGTTATCAGAGCGGCCTTGGACTTATACTGCAAACCACCGCTGGCCGAGCGGGGTAATCGTCGGGCTCTGTCTTCCTTTTTCGCTGGAAGTCGGCTTGCCCGGGCTCACAACTGCTCAGAGCTCTGCTGCAGGACGCTTCGCTTTGGCACGAGGCCACCCGAATGGCTTCTGGGCTCAGTTCATCTCTCAGAGCTGCAGAGCTTCCCTGAACGTGATGCGTTTCTTGGCTAAGCTCTGCGTCCTTTACCTCTTCGTCCTAATGCTCAAGTTCTTCAAGTTCCTTGGCTGGCAGGCTAAGGCTGTTTTAGTAATTCTTAGACAGTTGCTTAGTACTTGGTGTTTGGGCGCGAGGCTGATGGCACGCAGTGCCACGCATTGTTGGTCTCGAATTTGTTTCCTGCTTTAGGGCAAGTGGGGCTTACACACAGCGTTTTTACTTTGAATCGTCAGGAGGCACATGCTGGACAGGCCGTATTTGAGGCTTCGTGTTGGTTGGTTGGCCTTGTCTGTGTGCTGGAGGGGTCATTTCCCTGTCAAGGTCTTTCAAGGCCAATGCTCAGCTGGACGTGGTCATCACTACTTTGTCGGGTTCTGTCAAGGACTGCGTCAGTGACAAAGTGCATCCTTCTGTATTCCGCCAGAGACCCAGCACGACATGCAAGCCCGAAGATATGAGTAGCCACTACCCGTCCTCTGCGTCACAAGCTCCATGGTTTGTGGAGTAACATCTTCCAGACCGTTTTGCTTCCAACCCTTGACCTCTCAGCTGCATGTCGGTGTGTCGCCACGCATTAGATCTGCATCTTGGACGTATCATGCTACTCATCTTGCCACCCATGCTGACGGCAGGATGTGTCCCACTTTGCAATCGTGTTCTTGACCATCTTCCTTTGTGGCCTGGCTGGATTTGTCATGACATTAGATAAGCGTGAGCAACTTGAAAAGATCGTACGTTCCCTCGTTGCTGTTTGCAGTCATGAGAGCTCGAAGTTGACCTGCTGAATCCGATAGCCTGCATGCAGCTTTACACCCTTGCATTGTCAACATGTTAACACTGCATGATGATGCACGCCAGAGGCTACGCTTGGAGCGCTCATGCCAGTGCCTCAGTAAACGCAGAGAAGCGTTTGCAACTTTGGTTGCAGAGGGTGGCATCTGGTACGGGAGGCAAGCACAAGCAAAAAGCTTGAACCTTTAAACCAGACTTCAGCATCCGCCGTCTCTTGCTCTGACATATTCCTCAGATCTTCTTCGGGAAGGACATCGAGGGCTGCAGCACGATGCTTGCCTAGATCATCAGAACCTGGACAAATAGGTATGCTATGGCCGTTCCTCACATCCCATGAGTATCACAATGTAGCAGATGTGCCGAACCCGAACAGAATGTGTAGAACGTACGATGTCACAACGTGTAAATGAGCTGGGCCTGATTTGTGATGACATGTCTTAGTGATCCAGATAGGGCAGGCTCCAATGCTTCAGTTGCGCATGCTTGGTTTATGCAAATGTGTAGATATGTTGCTTTTTTGAATCTTGGAGCGCGCGAATCTGCATCCTGAGATGATTTCTTGAACCTTTGGGCTGCACGCTTGTGAAGCCAAAGTTTGCTTATCTATCTACAAAGATCCGTCAGGTATCCCTTGGATCAAGACTAAGAGCAACTCAAGCTAACAAGAGAGGGCAGCAGCGAGAACAGCAAGTATGGTACTGCTAGTGCTACCATCCTGACTGTTCTTGGTCGTGATTATTCTGCTGGTCGCTGTGATTGGTGTTTCTGGGGTGGTGGTGATGGTGGTGATGGTGGTGATGGTGGTGATGGTGGTGATGGTGGTGATGGTGGTGATGGTGGTGGTGGCGGCGTCGGTGTCGTTGGTTATGTTGATGCTGGCGCTGAGCTGGCGCTGGGGCCGGTGCTGCTGCAGCTGGTGGCGGTGGATCATCATGGTAGTCGTCGTCATCAGCGTCGTGTCGTGATAGTAGCAGTTGTCGCAGCGGTAGCAGTAGCAGCAGCAGCAGTAGCAGCAGCTGCTGTGAAGGCCGCAACTACTAGTTACTTTGCCTTTTTATTTGGAAGTTATTCTGGTGGTGTGGGGTGGTGCTGCTGCTCAGTATAGGTGTCGCAGTGGGAGCAGCAGCAACAATGGTGATAGTGCCTAATGTAGGGTCAGCAGTGGTAGCAGAGAGGCGGTGGTGGTTGTCTGGTTGCAGTAGCAAAGGTGGCAGCAGCAGTGGCAGAGGCAGGAGGAGGTAACAGAATTCACGAGTTTTTTCAGCTCAGGATTTTGGGAGCTATCTTCTGGCGGTGGTCCAGTGTCCTGGCGTTGGCAATCCATGGGCAGCAAGTCTACCTCTAGCTTCAACAACAACTATTTAAACTATTTTCATCATACTTGGGGTCACAGAACATAAGACTGAGTCTTTAATCCTGGCAAAATGTCAAGAATAGCCAGATTTAGGCCAAAGGCTTTCAACAGCCTCGTTGACCATAGTCCCCTGTCCAAAAATTGTAAGTGCATGACAAAGATATACTAGTTTGCGTCTCACGCAGATATCCGCGGTATCTGTAGCTTCGTGCGTTCACGGCCCTTTGATGTTCGTTGTACAGCCTGAGAATCTGCAACAACCTGAGTCAGTTGGACTGTCGGCATCTTTCGCAAATCCGAAGATGGTGTGCAATTTTAATAGTGACGCGTTGGTGCGACTTCGGTGGTGACCGAGATCGCTACCGAAGCATTCTCGTCTGAGAGTTTTGGTGACACATACCCTCCACCCTTGTGCCAGCGGGTTTGCGAGCTTATTGCAAGAGTGTGCGACTTCCGTGGCTTCCACAGAAGTTGCTCTTCAGCTCTTGGAAGCTGTCTCCATGTCTCCATCACACTGTAATTTTGCCTTTGTACCCGGGTCTTGCACGTAAATGATCTTGTAGTCTCCTCGCCCTCTATGTACTGCCCGTCCCTGCCCTCCACCTTCTTTTTAGCAGCATGGTGTTGTGATTCATGTTGGTGATGCTGTAGCAATTCCTTCATGATCTTCATGCAATTTGTCAAAATGACTTCTGTCCTCATCGAGCTGGGATTTGCGTGTCTCACTTACTCACAGCTTCTTACAAGCATGGGCCCCACCGCAGCCACAGGTGGCGTTGGAGTTTTCAACATGGAAGACCTTGATCTGCTAGGAAGAGATTCCTGGCTGGACATAAGCGTTTCAGTCGCGTCGAATCCCGCCAGGAATTGAATGACAGGTCGTGCTGTTTCTGGGAATCAAGATGATTGGCAAAGAGGGGACAATTGAGTGTGAAGACAGGCTCAGAGGCTGGGTAATGCTTGCTTGCAGGCGATCTTCTCCTAAATGCTGGGTCGCATGTCTTGCAGTGCATCCAATGACCCATCGATCCCCGAACAACCAAGATACTAGGCATTCTGTCAAGACTTCATGTTCATTTTGGCGATTGGAGTCCACTAGCCAGGGTGTAGAGAACCTGCACAACTCTGAGAGTTCTGTTCGCCAGCCTCGTGCCTTCAGCAAGCCTCAGCCTAGATTCTCGGATACACCTACACGTTGTCGTATGAGTTCCTGGTGCAGCGCTCAGCACAAGGCCTTTTTTCAGGCATTTGTTCATGCCAACGGATCTGGGTCGCCGGTGGAGAATGCATTGGGAGCTCCAAGCTTGGCAGAGGTTATGTGAACAGCTCAGGTGCAGAATTTGCTATTTGGAATTCTCTTTGGGTTGATCTTTGCCGCTTGGGCTTAGCATGGCAGTAGCTTAGCGCCGAGAAGGACAAAAGCAGCAGAAAGCGAACAACATCCAAATCCGAGCATAAGCCCAGGAGGCTTATGGCCGCACTCAAAAAGCAGCCGGGAACCCCATCACAGTGGTGGAGCAGACCCTTGGCTGGACCTGGTTGCTCTGAGCATGTACCGAAAACCGAGAGATCTTACCTCCTGCTTTTCAAAGCAGTCGCATGATAGGTTCCCCGCTAAGTAGGTGGCCGCATCCCGCGGGGAAGCATTGAATTGCTGGGCAGGAAATGTTTTTGGTATGAGCATGTGAGCATGTCTGCTCCCGTAGTCATCTGATGGCTCGTCTGAAAATTGAGGATCCGCCTAGCCGTGAAGGAAATGCTACTTGGCGCAGCACCAACATCTCCCTCCACGAGCGGAACCCAACGACTGAGCGTAGATGCCGTACAAAACCAATCTGTCGGTACTCCGTAGCAGCATCAGCATGCTATCACCGCATGCCTGGCAAGTCAGACATTGCAGTAGGTGACAAGGCTGCAGCACACCGTCTACATGAACCCAAGGCGAAAGAAGAAGGACTTCCTTGATTTTTGGTACACCATCAACAGGCTCATCGATGACGAGACCCAGCTGAGCCAAGGATACTCCGAGGTGTCAACTTGCCCTTCCTTTGCTCCGCCTTGTGGCACGATAGGTCACAGGCAGGGGGACGATGCGAGTATCTTCCAATTTGGGCATGCCTACAGTCTGCAGTAGTTGTCGGCTCATCTTCCATGAGCTCAAGGACTTGCCCGCCCATCCTGCGGAAGTGGTGACTGTCAAGAGCCTCTGCGAGGCGTTCCAGGCGGACAACATGACCAAGGCAAGAGATGGCAGGAAGTCTGGATCAGAAATTTGCGTTGAGCAACTGCCTTGTTTCTTCTGTTGCTCTCGCTCCCAGTACTTGGACTTTGGCAGGTGAATGCGGCTGCCTGCCTGAATGGTCGGGGCAGTGACCCACACATGTGCCAAGCTGGCTTCTATCAGTCGAGCGGACATGTAAGCAGACATGCGCATCCCAGAGGCTTCAAATGAAGTCAAACCACGAGTCGACGCTGAGGAATACATCATCAGCCATGTGCGAGAGTATCAACTCAGCAAGAATTCCGAGGCCTGCAAGGAGGGAGGGTGATTGCATGACAAGGTCTGACCCAACCTTTGAGCTCCCAAACAAAAGCTGTGCTTTGGTGAAGCATGTGTGCTGTCACCCAGAAGCCACCGGCAAGTGGAAGTCATCAACCCCCTGTGTTGTTGCTTCCTCTCAACGCTTGCCAGGCGAAGCTAAGGCAGAACCAAGCGCCAACCCGAAAATCCATTCAAGTCGCCAACGGTGAATCAAGTACATCCACAGGCTCCCAGGAGGTCCAGCAAGACAAATGCTTGCATCATGCTTGCATTGTGACTGCAATGTCCATTCTGTTTTCCATGTCTTCTTTGCCACTTGTGAGTTGACACCTCGTTTCTGCACATTTCTTGCTAATGCTCTCTCCTCTCAGCACCTGCTGAGAAATCTAATCGAGCCACAGTTGCTTGAGCAGCGCAATTTTTTGCATTTGGCCTAGCAGCCGCAAACTCGCAGCCCAGATTGCGCAGGTTGAAGTTTCTCTGCTGCACGCGCTGCGGCTTGTGTCACAAACACGAACATCGCAACTTGGCCTCTCCTGTTCGGCCAGGAAGGCCCAGCAATAGCATCGTTCCAATCCAAGGAGCCTCCGCTCAATCCAGGTCACGGAGAGCATCCTGGGAATGTTACTTGCCAAAGCCATTTTGTTGCATGCATGCAGGCTGTTGTTGATGGAAAGCGGAATCTTCTCCTTAGAGCCACCCACGCCTTGCTCAGATGCAGCTCACTGATGCACCATTGCGTCTTGCACGATCTTGCGAAAACATTCCCCTCGACTTGAACACCCCGGCTTGAACCGGATTAGAGTCTATCAAGACAACTGTAACTGAAGCCAGGCTGAAGGCTGAGAGCCAGAAGCCGCAAGAGCTACGGTTCCGCTGCATCATGGCCGGCTTTGACCCTGATGCGCCGGGCGAGATGCAGGAATTCATGCGCATCACTGCGATGCAACTAGGCTTCTAAGACAGGCCACAAGCCTCGAAATTCGGGATTCCGGATGAAGCTATGCGGGGTCTTGGTCCATGATGTTCGCTACACTCCCTTCGTGTGGTTCTGTAGCTCTGCCGTGCCTTTGTGTGGACGCTTGTTGTGAGTCTCCACAGAGGGTTTCAGGTCGTGCATCTGACAGGGTGACAAGCTTGGTTGACTTGCTGGAACAGGAGCCAGCTTGAATACCAACTGTGCATACAGACTTCCCTTCAGGCAAGCGCTGGAAGACGACAATCCGCTGCCTGGCCAAGTGCAGCAGCCTGCTCAGAGTGCTGGAGCCTGCGCCCAAGTTGTCCTCGTCATGACTTTGGAAGAACCGATTCGCAGCTCTTCCCTGGGCACTTAATGAGACAAGCTTGCTCAAGCAAAGGTCGTCCAACACAATTCGGAGAGCAAGGCGACAGTAAACAGCCACAGCGTGGACGGTACAAAGGAGGCCTGGGTCTCAAGAGGCTCACGGATGAACTCACTAGGTTTACACCTAAGGCTGCAAATGCACTTGGAGTACAGGCTTAGAGGGATGTGGAAAGCAACTGGGGCAGGCAAGTGGTTGTAGCCCTTTTCGTGCAGTCCTCGCTCGTTTGCCACACATGTAGGAGCAAGACAGCAAACATAGGCCCAGTGAACCTTTGAAGGATCGAAGATTGCAAGATGTCTTTGCTGCAGGAGCCAGTCGAGGTTGTTGATCGAAGCGAGCAACAGGCGAAGGATCTTCGGGCCTGAGAAATCCGAGCGCCATGTGCCATGTAGGATTCTCAGGTTGCTGCAGCAGCCTGAGCAGTTAGTTGCATTTGCGCAAGCCTGGATTCCAAGAACAAGTAAGCATGCTAGATCTTTCTTTAAAGTCATTCACTTGTTTCCTTGCAACTGTGCCCAGACCAGCAGACGCAGGGAGGCGTCTCGCGCTCTTCTCCTGCTGACTTAAGGGTTTTTTTTTTGTACCGTGTTCCACCTTCACCACCAGCACTATGTGGCAAAGAGGATCAAGCCTCTGCCCACAGGAGCTACAGCTCAAAGCTGGTCTGGACCGACTCGCAGAAATTGCCCACGAGTCGCAAGTGGAGGATGCCCTCACAGTCCGGGCCTGAAAGGGACCACATTGACCGAGATGTCTGCTTCAAATTCTTCAAGATTGGACATTGAAGTCATCCCAGGTGTCTGAAACACTCAAAGAGATTGAGGCCCACCAGGAGCAGTCTGCAAGTTTTAAGCAGGAGCAGCAGACTCCTGGCGTGACCTTCAGTACTGCGTTTTTGCAGAGCAGAGTTGAGTTGGCACAACATCCCAGAGTCCGCTTGGTCAAGTGATCAGCGAAACCCTGGAATCGGACACTCAAAACATGCCATAGAGGGGTAGCTCTTTCAATAGCTTTGGCACAGGATTTGCTTGTCAATTTCTGTTTTGAGCGTTGAAGGTAGTAAGGCTAGCAAAGCATTCCGTGAGTGCAAGCCAAGGGCCCGGCGAAAAGACCTTAGCTCTCAGTGCCTGAGGGCGCAGGAAGGCTCGCCTCTGGAGATTACATGTGGGAATCATCAGTTCAAGAATCAGTGACCTCCAGATAGCAATATCCATTCCGCAGCACGCCCCAAAGGTGCCAGTCAGCTGGCGGACCGCTTTCAATCAACGGACCTCCATACACTCCAGGCTTGTTCTCAGACAGTGCCTGACTGTGGTTCTGCAAGCGAGAGGAAGAAGAGAGAACTGTAGTGACATCCGCTGTGTAGTCCAAGATGTTTGGTTGCCAAGCGATGTGTAGCATGAGCAGAGACAAAACCCATATGTTGCTCGTGGAACCCAGAGCAGCATGACACATACCAGTTCAGACCTGCTAGTTGACATGTAGAGTTGTCGTGAGTAAACCGCAAGGGCAGGCTAGGCTACTGCAACTGGGAAGGGCACAGATTCAATACAGGGGATAGACACAAACTCAGCGAAATTGGAAAATGGAAGGTTAGCAGCCAGGGGCAGCTGTTGACTTGGGTGTATGTGAACCAAAGGGAGTGGTCGGGTAAGTGCTTTGAAGTTTACCGGCAAGTTATAGGCAAATAGCCTATAGTGAAGAATAGGAAGAAGAGGAAGAAGAAGAGGAATAACAAGAGGAAGAAGAAGAAGAGGAGATCACACCAAAGTTGCTACCACGACAAGGAATACATATGCACAACAGGTGTTTGCATGCGCACGACAGGTTTGCACTGTGTCCATGACAGCTGATTTATCACAACCGCTGTACTTGCCAACTGCTGCTACCTGAGGCTCAGGCACAAAAGGGGTTTGGTGCAGGATCTCAGGGTTTGCTGTGGTTTGGTGCCCCTGACTGATCCGTGTTTTCGGCATTTGCAGCCCTCCAAAGTGCCGAAAACCCTTCCCACACACATGCTTGACTGCTCCGTGTTTTTGGCATTTTCAGCCCTCCAAAGTGCAGAAAACACGCAACACAACCCCCCCCTTCCCACACACAGTCCCTGCAGTCCCGCAGCGCCATTTGGGCCCCCTTCACTGCTCCGTGTTTTCGGCCTTTTCAGCCCGCCAAAGTGACGAAAACACCAAACACAGCCCCCTCCCGCACACAGCCCCCCTTCCCGCACACAGCCCCTGCAGTCCCACAGCACCATTTGGGCCCTTTGACCGCTCCGTGTCTTTCGGCATTGGGAGGAATCCAAGTCCTTTACCTTGGTCGCTGTTGCTTCCAGGATCTCTTTTCGTATGAGGCTGTTTCTTTGTCGCTGTTGGTTCCGGGGGTTTTGTCGGGGTAGGTTCTTTTCTTGTTGTGCTTAAGTTTCTCCAGGGCTTGTCGCGAGGAGGTAGGGAGAGAGAGAAAGAAGAAGAGAGATCAAGCCACGAAGCATCAAGCCCCCAGACACACTCAGTGAGCCAAGACGAGTCACCTCCCCCTTCCTACAGTGTCTGAGTCGGCTTTAGGGCGGCTTCCTGATCCAATCTCCTCTGGCCACAGCTATCCACATCCAGTGACGCCAGCCAATGCACAGGCCACAAAAGATGTTTCGCACAAAGCTTGGTACCTGGAACATAGGGGGTGGGTTCCTAAGGGACACATTCCACACCTTACAACACCGCAGCACTTTCAGGCACATCCAAAGCAGGGCCAACCCACCATTTGGATGTTGCAGGAAGTCACTGTTGAAGAGACAGGACACAGGGGCACCTGACCATGTCGAAGAGGGCAGCATGGACAACGGAGAAGCAAGGGCAACATGAACCATGCCGAGCGGATTGCTGAGCCGAAGGAGAGCTGAGAGAATGATCCGGGGTACGCAGCCACAGGCCACGTGCTAGGAGACCTGCAAACCAGTGCTGTCAGAATAGGTTGGGAATTGTTGTCTTGGAGCCCCTGCTTCTACCTCGCAAGCAACTTGAAACGTACTGGCCAAATTGTAACATACTGGCTGAACCACTTCAAGCCACTGGGCGCAAAACAGTTCCCCGAAAAAAGAACGGCAAAGCGTACAGCCGGAGTTGTCGTCGACGGGGAAGACGGGCAGAATTTTTAATAGTTACTGTGCTTACCGCAGTTACCCCAAGGAGCAGCGTGCCAGGTAGCAACTCAGAGGGAACCCAGTAAACATGCACATTGCATTCGCAACTATCACATCCTCTTACCTTTTCCATGCTTACCGTGTCAAATCCTTAGTCAGCAGTAAGAAGGGCAGCCCTGCCACAACCAGCAGTTCAATTTTTCAGCAGTGGTCACTTTTGCCAACCAATCCCGGGTTCAAGCAATATTGCCTCCTCAAACTTTGTGACAGGTCTACCGCACCTATAGGTTGGCAAAATGCAAGCCACATGTGGGGAAATAGTGCCACACAAACACTCCCTTCATAGATGTTCCTTCAAAACTAGTCTACCAAGGTGTTGTTTCCCATCAATGGAGTCCAGAGGGGCGAGGTAGGGAAAATCCAGGCCCAACACGGGCTGGGCAGTGACGCCCGGAGCGGCCAGTAGGCTACTCCAGAGCCCGCACGAAAGAAAGAAAGAGAGACAGCGAGCGCGAGAGATATCCAGGAGAAGGAGGTGGAGGGCGCTCGGAATCGGGAATGGGGTTGGGAGGACGAGACCGTCTTGCCAAAGACGGGGAGTGAGTTGGGGTAAGGGGTCGGGAATCCGCACGGCAGCCTTTAGATAGCTCTAGAAGAAGTGGAAGAAGAACAAGAACAAGTAGATGAAGAGCAGAGAAAACCGCATACGGATGCGCAGGACTTGCCTGAACGCATCGGCAAGCTGGCGCAGCTTGCCAAGGTCACTTTCCTTTTTCTGAGCCTTTGCAGCCCCTCTTTTCACCTACTTGGAGCGCCTTCTAGCTCGCTAGCTTCCACTTACGATTTGGGCAGGAGCCCAGGTGAGTGATTGTGAAGGTATCCAGTGACTGTGACTGTGCTTCCGCTTTCTCCATGGTCCCAAAAGCCACAATCGTGCGTGCGAGGCCTCGCGCAAGGCGGTGGAGAGCTGCCTGCTCGAAAGAGAAGCATAAGAAGTTAAGGGATGGTGAGTTTCTTCGATGAAGTTGTTAGGCGGCCGGCTGTGGGAAGCGTTTGAAATCGAGCTTTTGTAGGACACAAATTTCTTGTGATGAATCGTTGCAATTCCTAGCTAGTAGAACTCACACTCACGACTCCTCGTTTTGTGGGGTGGTCGCGATGATCTCGATGCACGTGGTAAGTTTAGCGGTGCTTGAGTCTGCAAACTCTAGGTGCCAAGCCCGGATTTGGCTCTGACCCACTGAAACGCTTGGAGATGAGCATCACGCTTCTCTCTGTGCCCTGGCTTAGTCCCAGAGGGCTTAAGGCTGAGCATCAGCTTTGTGCACTGTCCTTAGGACCGTTGCAAACAATACACGGCGGAAGTCGAGGCTGAAGCGATCTGAGAAACCTTCTTGAGGGAGTTGCAGTGAGCCTGGTGAGCACTCTCCTGGCAGGCACAGAATGATCTGAAAGCCATGCTGAACAACTTGATCTCCATCCTGGCACTTGGGCTCGAAAACTGGCGCTTTCTTCGATGCTTTTCATTCTTCAGCTTGTGTTCGTGTAGCTGGGACTTGTGTTGGGGGTTGCAGTGTGCATTGTCAAAACTCGAGCCGAAACATCAGTCCCCAGCTTAAACCACTGCGCCGGCTGTAACGCAAAAGCCAGAAATCAAATGGCAGCCACGATTGAAGGCGGAAGGCGAGTCTGCGATTGAGATCCCAGCGGCAGCGGGGCGCAAAGCTCGAGTTCAAGTTGAGACCGGCAGACGGTAGCGAGAGGGCTCAAGAGCCTGATTCGAGGATTGGTTGGGGTGTGAGGTACCGTATAGGACGGGCTGTAGACACAGGAGCCCCAACGTCTAGAGCACCATGGTCTCAGCCTAAACAACAAGCAAACACGGATGACGCAAAGCGATGCAAGCAGCATCACAGCAACATTACAGATCGCCGGGAGCACGCTTCCTGCACACTATGTCACTATGTTTCACACATAAGCAGATTTCTCGAGATCCGGCCCATTTTTGAGGATTTTCAAGTCGCGGCTGTAGCAGGACCCGAATCTGGAGCAATCCGAATTCACGTGGGAGAAGGTGGACAGCAACACAAGTCCCAGCTGTACAGGTCCAGCAGTCAGCAACTTCAAGTCTAAGACTTGGACGGTGACTGGCTTCCCGCCAGTGCGTACAGCGCCTGGAAGACTGCTTGGGGCTCCTTCCTTCCAGTCTGACGCCTAGGCGCCTAGCCAAACAACCTGCTATGATGAGGGGTTAGACCTTGGGATGCGCACTTTTTTTTCATTTGCTTGTGATGCCTCAGAGCTGTTGCCCAAAAACAAACAAGTAAAGCTTTCCGGCAATCGGGGGTAGGAGGGTGCACATCTCAGAAGTGAATTGGATTGGGGCCTGGGCATAGACTAAACGCAGCCAGCTTTCCGGCAATCCTGAACTGCTCAATTGGCTGGAATCCTCAATATATGCCTCAAAGCAGATGGTCAGAGTTTCGATGGATCTATGCCCTCATAAATGTGTGCTTCACACTCAATTAGGTGCCAAGGCGTTTCACGAAAGTGTCGAGTTGTATCCGACAACTGAAGGCTTTCTTTCTCAAGGCTCGCTGTGGGCGGAACATGCAAGCCCCTCTGCCGTAAGCATCGCTGTCTAGGCTAGCAACTTGCTCTTGCAAGGCTCACGGGATGTCAGCAGGCAGAGCTTGTTTCTTGTTGCGTAGCAAGCTTGCGAAAGCTGTAGGGCCAGCCAGATGGGAACGCTTTGGGCCAGCTGATGCGCTTGTCTGTGATATGGAATCTTCAGATGACTCGGCTGAGCGGCCCCTGCTTGTCTGCATGCACCTCGGCAAGTGTGGAGGGCAGCTGAGAATCTAGCAGCCCCAAGGGCAGCCAAGCAAGCCAGAACTATTCCGTGCATCTTTGAGCTGATGCTTTTGCAAGTTGCCTGTTGTTGCAGTATTTCGGATGATTGAGAAGTCAGGTTCTGGATCGCCACTGGCTACGCCTACGGCCCTTTGCTCTGCTACCCTCTCTACCAGGCCTTGGTGACTTCCAAGGGACAAGCAGAGACTTGGATGGGTCAACCTCAGACCGTTTGCATGGTGACTCTTCGCACTTTGTTTATTAGAGCTGAGGAGGTTGACCCGACCACCGCCGGTCTGGTGTCACTGGGCCATCATCAGAGGACCTGAAATTATGATGCATGCCACCATGAAGCACTGAGGTTAATGGGTGCGAAGTGCGTTGCTGCGCCCCAGCTGCAAATTCCCTTTTCAGATGTCATCTTGGAGCGCGACGGTGCTTGGCAGAATGATGCAATGATGTCAAATGATGTCAAGCCATTTGCAGCATCGGTTTTCAGCATGCTGTATCTGTATGCAAGTTAGAGGTCCTCCTCCACAATGCCTTGAGCATGCTGAGCTCAGAGCTGCGCCTGAGATGCAACATTGATCACTTGTTACACAGAAGTGCCTCAGACCATAAAGATGCTTGGTCTAACATGAGGAGGCCCCAATGCAAAAATAACAATCGGGATCATGTCATCAGTCGCGTAGAATCTATGAAGCCCTAGGAAGTCTCGAGGACGTTTTGCGATTTTTACAAAGGCAAGCGGCAGGCTCATCAAATCTTCACCCGTATGTGTTGAAACGCAGCATAGGAGTTGGAGAGCGTGCAGCATGCAGGGGGTGACGAGTGCCTTGTTGAGGGGAAGCCATTGTGCAGCGTTCAGGATGGAAAGAACACACTAAGGCAGAGTCCCCACTTCAACTTTACAGGGGAATGTTGGTTGCGTTATTGCAGGGTTTCTTAAGTCTTGAACGAAGCACGAGTCTGGAAAAAAAGGCACGAGTCAGACCTTGCGAGAAGTAGGAAGACATTGCTTAAGGAAAGCCAAGTACAGGCATACGTTAAAACCATCTCCTTTTCACCTTGCGAGAGTAGAAGGACATAACAGAAAGAAAGCCGGGTTCGGACGTATGTTCAAATCACCCCTTTTCACCTTGCGAGAAGTAGAAAGCACTGACGCAGGGAAAGCCAGGTACAGACATATGTTCAAACCACCCCCTTTTCAGCTTTCGATAAGCAGAACGACATGACAGAGGGAATGCCAGGTACAGACATGCGTTAAAACCAACCCGCGTTTTCCCGACTCACGCCTTTCCTTTTTCCCGACCCCCCTAGATCTTCGAAGCAACGCATATCCCAACGACAAAATGGCTTGTGGGCCAAACCGCTTGGATCAGATTCAGTTAAAAGCTCAGAAGTTATAAGACGAGACCTCATGGATGCAGCCAGCTTCGGCCAAGGCGCAGCCTGCAGCTCCAAGCTCTCAGTGCCTTGGCAAACGAGTTGAAACCATTTGGAGAAGTGTCGAGTGTTGTTTACAGGTTGGGCTTGCAGCGCCCATTTCTTTCCCTGTTTCTGTCCTAAGATGATGGATCAGCATGAAGCTATAGATCAGGTTTGATGCTGCTGTCAATGGCCTGCCTGACGGTTGCAAGTGGCTCGTGTGCAAGAGTCAAGTCTGAGCAACAAGTCACTCAGTTAGTAGGTCCAGAAGCAGTTACAGAAGACACGCCAGCACAAGTTGTACCACGAAAACTGTCACGTGGCACAACCTTTGATAGCTTATCAGAGCTGCTGAGGTTTGGAAGTCATATCCGGGATTGGCGTCCTGCTCGCAGTTGCCTGGATGTTCACAGCGTTAACCATGGTTTCCAGTTCATGGGTTGGAGTCTGGTCATTGGATAAGTTTGAGCACCCAAGCGGAAGGTCGTGCAATCCCACACTCTTGAAAGACAAGACCATCATGAACGTTCAAACACAAGTGGGTTACATGGTTGCCTTCTTCAGAAGGTCGGGACCCTGCATCTCACCCACAGCGCGGTGCTGGTGTCGCCTCTCTGGCCCGTGCCTTCTGAGCCTCAGCCGACTTTGAACTTTCTAGAACAACAGCCGCGTGAAGCACTTTCCAGATCTTATACACGGAGGCGCATCCACCCATCCACGCGTTCAGCTAAGGAGAGCAAGAGCAAGTTCCGAAGCATGTTTTACTTCGCTTCATGTCTCAAGATTCAGCCCTTTCGGTTCCCTTATTCAGGTTGTTGGGAAGCTGCAGGCATCTGCTGATGTGCATGTGCTGTACCATGCAAGGAGTGTAGCTATTACTCAGAAGCACAAACTTGCACTACTGCTGACCAACGCAAGGTCACGGCTCCTGTTGGATGCGTATGGACCAGCCTTGTCAGCTTCTGCCTGGCGCATCCTGCCTTCAAAGCATCCTGGGTGATGCGAGCCATTGTCATGAATGTGCCCATCCTGGTCTCGGGTTTGGTGCCCCGACGGCAAACAATTCAACTGCTAAGAATATTCAAGAAGCATTCGTTGACAGGCTTCAAAAATATGCGAGAGGTGAAGCAGGTGCTCTATCCATTCACACGATTCCTTGTGTCCTTATTCTATTTGGGTTGCGGGGTGGACAGCCGCTTGCTAATACATGTCCGCGGCTTCCAGGCAGACACTTGCCACAGAAGATTCCGTGTTTTGAAAGTAGGTGAAAGGAATTTACTGCGGGTCCAAAAATTACCTTGAATGGCTTAGACGGTCGACGGCTTGCAGAAGTCGCATGTGACTTCGCAGTTTGGCTTACTTATCCAAATTTGTTGTCGGGAAATGCAGGCCTGTAGTCGGTTTTGGACCCCCGCATCCTTCGACTCTCCGAAGTTGTGTGCGCGTGGTCCTTGTTTAAAGTGCAGAGCGGTGGTCATTTTCGGAGTCTCTCATCTTTATGGGAAATATGGTCTCACGCAATAAGCTGAGGCTTGTGGGCAATGTTGCTTTCAATGGAGGGAAAACAAGCCCTTTCCAGAAACTTTTATGCGGTCAGAAACTAGGATTGACAGCAACTGTTTGTTTTGCTCTAAACTTAGTATTCAAGGAATATTTTCCATTAGAGGGACGCAAGCCGTTTCCAGATACCTTTACTGGCGTCAGAAACTAAGGTTGACGGCAAATGCTAGTTTCACACTACGCTCAGGTTTCCGGGAAAAGTTAGTTCCAGTAGAGGGAAACAAACCTTTCCCAGAAACCTTTACGGGGTCAGAAGCTACGGTTCATGGCAAATGTTAGCTTCACGCAAAACTCAGATTTCTGGGAGCAGCTGGTTTTCGTCTAATGCTCCCAATCTTGGATTTCATACCTTGTCGAAATCGGCCAAACTTCAAACCCCCAACTTGTAGTTACAAGGATGTCACAACACCACCCTTCTTCGCCGTGCATGCAACTGAGCCAAGTTAAACCTGAAACACGTTAGTTTCCAATAACCGTTCTGGAAAACCTTTTCTAAACACACGTTTCCGGAAAATCCTTGTTTCTGGCAAACATTTCTGAAAGCCGTCAGTTTCCGACAAACGTTTTTCAGTCAGTTGCCAACAAGCATTGCTGCAAGATCCTGGAACGTTTCTGGACCCCTCCCTGGCAGAAACTATCTAACTCTGAACAGAAAGGTTAGTTAAACCAGTTGCAGGTTTTGAAGCAAGCGTTTCAGCCTCAAGTTCGTTTCAAAATGAAGACAAACCTTTTCGCTTCCGCCATTTCGTCGGATTCTCAAGCATGTATGTGCTCCTCC